TATCTATCTATCTATCTATCTATCTATCTATCTATCTATCTATCTATAATCTATATCTATCTATTTATATATATATAATCTATATCTATCTATATTAAATTTGTGGTTTAATGCTCCATAATTCCTCATTCTTCATACTCTGGCCAGTTGTGAGTACAAAAAGAAACCTCTCTGCTATGGGTTGAAAGCTACAGTAATCTATGTAAAAGTAAGTCTTTAGACAGTGGTTTGATTCTATATCCATATGTAGAAAGTAGTAGTAGGTTCTCTGCTTATGACATACCCACCTTTGAATCTTGGTACAGTTCACAGTACCAGACAAGCATTTTGTCTTGTGGCATGAATCTTAAATTCTGTCCAAAAGTGAGTCGTTGCTCTCACAGCTTTCGCGTCACTAACGCAGCAATGGGTATACCTTAACAAGACTGATTGTTGTAGCTCACAGGGTTCTCAGATGAGTATAATGATTGGTTATTATTTTCCTCTAGCATCTTATGGCACATCCTGACACTATAAAAGCTAGCTGATAGGGATAAAGGTTTCTGATCAGCACCAACTCCAATTCCTATTGTCCTATGTCTCGTGCATGTGGAATTTGCAGAATAGTGTCTTACCATCATGTTCTGCTGGATAATCAAGAGTCATGACAATAGATAGCCTATATTGTTTGGTGGAGGGGTCTATGGGACCACATGGGACAAATATGGAAGCATTTGTCCCTTCCTCTTCTCTGATTCTCTCCCCTGTCTCCAGGAGCCTTCTTTCTGCTTTCAGATTGTGTTTGTTCTCTAGAGGACAAGTGTGGTTCTTATATGTTTTATATATCGTATATATAAAACTTTTGAAAGCTATATATATATATATATATTTATATATACACACACACAAAAATACAAATAATGATATAATAATTTGTTAAAAAATAAAACCATCACTATGCAACCCTGAAGTGTACATTCTAATTGACACTGTGGAAAGTGTTAACAGACATTGATTCACAGAAATCTGAGAGCAAAAGGGCATTTTAGAATTTGGGGCACTGAGAGAAAAGAAAGCAAATCACATCTACCCTGTGTGACTCAAATCAGTGAGATGAGATTCTTCCTGGTGGAGCACTCGATGCTATAATGCGGCACAATTAAAGCACAAGCCACTGTCTGATTAAACGGGGAAAAAAAGGCTTTGAACTAGATGTTTGTGCTAGAGTCGACACGTGACAGGGGAAACTGCAAAGCAGTGTCTGTTCTTCATATTTAGGACAGTGATTCTGCTGCCTGTCTGCCTTGGGCCTCCTGTGAACTCTGACTGCATGCTTGGGTGTGGCGTATTCAGGCATTAATTCAATTTTACACAGGAAGATCAAAACGCATTTCCTAAATTCAAACCTGCAAAGGAAGCCTGGACAAAATAGCCTTCTCTGGAGGTGTAGCAGTCAGATATTTTAAAGGCATACTCTTAAAAGAGTTTGGGTTATATCAAATGACAACTTCCTGAATTGATTAGAACGAGGTAATTGTGAAACACAATTAAGGAAAACATGATTCAGTCTCATCCTTACAGTCCAGGGTATTTATAGTTCTCCAGGTCTTGCACTGGCCAAAGGCAAACTGCAATGTTACTGGCAGAAATGTTTTTACAACCACTTCAGACAATTATTTTGGGATACTCCTCTTGTGCAAAAGAGTATTCAACACTGAGTCTTCTCAAAATTTATACAAGTAGAAATCAAGATCGTTTTATCTAATGTAAATAAAGGTAGTGGAAATGTAATATGTGTGAAATTTTATATGATATGCTTATACAAGGCAAAGTTACTTTGAGAAACAAGGCAGGAATCTCGCTCCTTCCAACTCTCAAGATGTTGTTTTGGACATGCTACCTAGAAGAGGTTGCTCTCTGTGGGTAAATTGCACGTCAAATAGTGTTATAAAACATGGTATATAAATTCATTCTTTAGAAGTACACTACAAAGTTCTGTTTTAAGGCAAAGAACATACATACAATATCTATAATATTTTCCAAAATTGTAGGATGTCCTATGAAGTAGTCTTTAGAAAACACGAATTCTAGTCTCTTCTTTGGCAGTAAGCAGTACTTAAGGCTATGTGAGTCACAGGACAGACACACAGAGCCAGTGTAACCTGAACATTTCTTTGATCATTTAGACATTTAGAAAGAAGCCAGTGGGTTTTTTTTATTAATTCACTTTATTCTCATATATTACATTCAACCACAGTTTCCCCTCCCACCTTCCTCCTATCCTCCTAGTTCTTCCTCCATCTCCCCTCTAATCAGAACCACTCATCCTCAGCCTCCTTTTTTTCTTAAAAAACAAACAAACAAATAAACAAACAAAAAACAGGCTCAGGCCTCCTAGGGATATCAACCTAACACGGCAGAAAAATTACAATAAGACTAGTTACATACCTGTATAACAAGAAAGCTAGAGTTCTTTAGCATATAAACAGGGAGCTTTTCTGCCACATCTCTTTTTCTCTTAAGTGGAATACAGATTTTAAAACACATATAGTGCAAAATGAATAGCAGTGGGTGACAGGATGGGAGTGGGAGGGCGCATCTAGCCAATCAGTGAAGTACAATGCTATGCACCCACGCAATGGCATGACAAACCCATTGTTGTGCCAACTCGCCACTAATTCTAGAAAAGTCTCCAGAAAGCTTCAAGAGTGAACAGACACTCTGAATGTCACTTGTGAAAAGTAAGGTTATTCCATTCATAAAGAGGTGATAAGCGGGGGGATTTGTGGAGCCGCCATATGGCAAAATAAGAAGGCAAACCTTAAACACTTTGGAACTTATGGAGATTCAAATGATACTTGTTAAAATTGAAATTTAAGTTAAAACTGCCATTCAAGGTGTGACAAATAGTTATTGAACAATTTGAAGAAGGCCAACTTAAGGCTGTGTTCTCATCGTGTGCAATAAGTTTGTAGGAACTTGTCAGTCACAGCCAAGCGAACAAGTATACTCATATGAACTTGGATTTCCCTCTTGGCAAATTCAGGCTTCATGGACTCCTATTTTTTTTTTCTTGTTTGCTTCTGTTATGTGTGACACTCAGAAATGCTAAGGCGGAATTCTACATTGTCATTCAGGCAGTGAGTCTGGGCAGGATTAATCCTTGACCGTTTCAGATTAGAGTTGACCCTATCTTTCAGGTTTGTAAACTTCAATTATCACAACAACTATGTATGATGAACATGAGAAAATATCTCTCAGGTTGTTTTGGGGTAGAAGGAGAGCCCACAAAAAACCATTTTCAACAGTCTGTGTTTCACTAGTTTTTGAAGAAAGTCAACTTGGGAAGGGTCAGTCTTCAAGTTTAGCAGTTCATCAGCCTGTAATTGCACTCATTATGACTGTAGCCGGCTCTATATTGGAGGATGATTAATAACGATATGCACTTCAGTAACGCTTCCCATCAAGTAGCCCTAATGGTACTGTAACTTCTGTTCAACAACCAAGCAAGTGTAACTACAATGCCATTTTTTACAGAGGCAGATTCACTCCTGTGGGTACGTCGATAATGCCAGTGTGGAAGGGAAGTAAGAAAGTGTGGTGGCAAAGCTGTTATTGCTTTAAATCTCACTGATGTAAAAGAACATGGCAATCTGAGGTTTCCATTGATAAATCTGATCATGTGAAGCCTATTGAAATGGAATTACTGTGCATTCCTTGCTGGAAATTACTTTCAGAACTGGGAGGTCCAGTTATGATATAATAACATTTACTGGAGGACTGGGGTCAAACCTTTGCCTGAGTCTAGGCGTGTTAGTTATCACTTTGATGCTACTGCAAATGTTTAATAATGTTGCTATCATCTCCAGTATTTGTGATGTTAGCACGTGTGGTCATGGCCAGTTTAGTTCTTAGTCCTTAAAAGAACTCTTTCAATTTCTTATGATGGCACGCTGTCACTCATTCCACAGCCCTGGAGTTAAGAATGGACGAATATTCTTTTCATAAGCTTTCTACAGGAACCAAAATTAAGAACAAATTACAGACATATACATTTTTAGTGTATATTATTAAATAACCTGTGTCGTTTTACCAGATAATATGCACTTTAGTCAACTTCGGAGGAGAAAGCAGAAGAGCCCCAGGAAGGCAGGAGACAGTTGATTCCCAAGGTGGGATAAACCGGAAGAAAGGAATCATCCATGTTAGAGAGGGTTAGGTTAAAAAAAAATGTCATTGGCATCCTAAGAAAGGTTAAATATGAAATCACCCAGAGAGGGAATGTCATAGAACATCAACAATGAATTTAAAAGTGTTAGTTGCTCTGGAATACTATTTTGAGGCGTGTTGCATTTGTTTATGCTGCGGAACGTTTGTTTAACGATGTAAAGATGTGTTGCTTTTGTTTAGGCTGCGTTTGTGTAACTCTGTGAAGCTGATTCTTGGACTGTTTAAAATACCTGGGGATGGTCTAATAAACAGCTGAACAGCAATAGCGAGGCAGGGGAAAGGATCAACCTGCTGACAGGCAGAGAGGATAAACAGAAGGAGAAATCTTGGAGAAGAAGAAGGAGTAAGGTAGAGCGTGGAGAGATCAGGGAACAAGAAAAGCAGGGGCCAGCCGGCCAGCCAGTCAGTCGTGAAGTAAGAATCAAAGTAAGATTACAGAATTGAGATAAGGTAAAAGCCCAGAGGCAAAAGGTAGAGGGGATAATTTAAGTTAAGAAAAGCTGGCTAGACTCAAGCCAAGGTAAGGCCAGGCATTTATAAGAAAGAATAAGCCTCCACGCGTGATTTATTTGGAAGCTGGGGGGCCGGTTCCTCCAAAAGCCAAAAGAGTTAAAAGAGTAAAACAACCAAAAGCATTTAGTATTTCCTGTTACCCTTCTGTTCATTGGGTCACCTCCAGGCACATGCCAGACAATTCGAAACGAGTAGAAATTTTACTTCACAGAACAGGAAATAGGAATCAGCCCTAAGGAATTCACAGTTTTATTGTATGTCAAGGGATGACTTACAGATAATGTATGTAAGGCCATTAAATGAAAGTCATAGGTCAAGTGAGTTACATTTCTTATTTTCCAGAATTCGTTAGAAGTGTTTGATGAGTGGTCAGATAATCAAAACAGGTTTACCTTATTTTTATATGTTTCGCTCCCCCTTGAATTTAGAATTACAATAAAACTGGCCATTCCTGAGTCTCAGGCCTGAAGACAAGTCACCATCCTTTCTCCTGGTCCTCAGACTGGACCTGCACTGTTGGCTCTCCTGAATCTTGACCTCATGAACCAGTTTCTTGTAGCACATCACGTCTGCATATGGTATTGGTTCTGTTCCTATAGAGAAACCAGACCAACCAATGCAACTGTTAACTTGATAGATTTGTAGAAGAAAGTGCAGGGAGCTGCTTCTCGGATTGCCTAGACACTATGTAGTCTATTGTCTGGACACTCCTTATACTCTACCTCTCACTGTCTTAAGAACTCAGGGACGTGATTTCTGCTTAAACAGCTCTTACATGGATTTTAGAGTTTTTACAGCATTTCAAAAAAAATTGAATCTTTCCAATAATATTGTAAAGTCAATTAAATTCCTGTCTCTGGTGTTTTTTTCGTTTGTTTGTTTGTTTTGTCTTTATTTAACCTGAGAATGTAGTTTTGACTTTAGTTCAAGTCAACGATACTGGAGTCTGGCTAAAGTAAACTCTCTACCAGCTATTCCCTAATTCCAATCTGAAGGCCTTGGCGTATTGCGAATAGACAATGAACTACCTTCTAAGTCTGAACTCTACATTATTGATGGGAATGTGCCTGGGATAAGATTTCCAGAGGAAGGTGCTATCTAGCCAACCCAACTTCTACCTTAATCTAATGGAGTCATTTTCTATTCATCAATGAAAATTTATTTAAAAACATATTATTCCACGCTATTCCATTGCAGAATTCACATTGCTTCCCAACCAAGTACGCTGAAATACTTCACTTTGAATTTTGTTGGAGGTTGTTCTTGCCCTGAGCCTGTTTCCCCGTTCCTGCAGTTGCCCAGTACCTGCTTGTTATACTACCTTTCTGTCTAGCCGTTCATTTTGCAGAACACAGTCTTGCCTTGAATGCTCCTGCTTTTTAGTTCCAAACTCTTGAATGGCTTTGAATTGTGTTCTAATATTAAGTGAAATGTCTCTGTTTCTTGTGACTTTCCCTAACTGCCAAAACTGAAGTATACATCCTACTAGCAATGATTACTAAATACATAGGGAGAAAATAGCAAACTGCTAATTAATGTTTGAACTCAAAAGAATGTGTCAAAATGTAACAAATAAGGGCTAAGGGAGGACTGTTGAGCAACTCCAAAGTGTTTGTTGCCAGAGTTCTTTGTCTAAACAGTTAGGTTAAAATGTGGATGACAATAAATTGGGAATGAGAATAATGTGCATTTCCAGTAGAATAGGAGCAAAGTTCTGTGGAAAACATGTGAGTGTTTCTAATAGTAGTTGACACATTTTCAATAGTAAGTCTTTGAATAAAAAAATCCTGTTTTTGTACTTATTGATAACTTTAATATTTGCAAAATTCTTTTATCGTAAGCACAAAAGATAAATGGATAAAGAACATAAATTGGTATAAGAAGATGATAATAATCATTAAGAAGTAATTTTAAATTGATTTTGTTTATCTTACATACTGTTTGAACTAGTTTATGCTATTCCAAGCTAATATTAACCATATATCCCAACTTTATGACAGCACAAAAGTCCAATATAATGTAACAGTTGTCACTTATTTATGAATCAGTGGAAACATCTGGCATCTTGGCCTCTTTTTGGCATTAGAAGGACTTAGAGCCTTTGCTGTGTTTCCCTATTAGTGTCATTCCAGGTCTTACATGATGATAGTTATCTCTGTGTATGTAACTGCACTGATTTCCATCTGACTCAGGTCAGCTGGCTATGAAGAGATTGCCATCTCTGGATACTACGCCCTCTGTCTATCTCTGGATCGACACAGTGCCTGTTAGCAAATGCTTCTGCTCAGTGAAACTTGTTACTCTAGCATTGTATTCTGTATTACGAAGCATGACAAAGAACAGCCTTATTCTAGCAAACCCATATTCATATTTCCTTCTGTTTTCTTTTTGTTTTCCTGGAGATTAGACTTAGGGACAATGGCGGGCGAGCATTGTATCGCTGAGCTACAATTCCCAGCCTATTCATGTTTCTTAATATCTTGATCCTTTCCTGTTATGATATAGAATATATAACTATACATTAAACTATACATAGTGTGCACTTACATACAAACATAATATGTAATTAAAATCACTTTATTTGGATATAAAAAGAAAATTGTGATTATCCATTTCATCTAGTTAAAATGCATTTCATCTAGTTAGAAATGAATATTTTGCCTATCTACTTTTAATTGAAAGTAGAGGTTGAGAAAAATGGATGCTTGAGACCTGGTAAATATATGTTCCAAAATATGTTCATGTCCACATAAGTGAATATTCACGTCCATCTCTGACGAAAGGAGCCTACTTATAGCTAAATAGATACATCCTATCTAGTGGTTTATTACAGTTGTAAGCAATCAACTTATTTGTATTTGGCTTTGTTGTTTTATTCTACCAGACTTACATTATAATTTATTTTGCTTAAACTCATTTTCTTTCTTGGAATATTTATCATGGATTTCCCGTGTCTGAGACAGAATACTAGACATGAGAGATAAAAATGATGAATAAGATAATCCCTTGTTCTAATGGGTTTTTGTCTTTTAATGTGGTCTGAGCACAGAGAAGTACAGCCTCAGGGTAAATGGTTTAAAAGAAACTTAAATGAAGGATAAACATACCCATTTAAGTTAAATAAAATCTTAAAGGAGATATGAGAAAAGCATTCTGTAATGAAAACTAAAATGCAAATAAATAATAAAAATATATGTTCAATGCTTAATCCAAATAATCTCCAAGACATCAATATACATATGCTATGTACACCCTGGTCTTGGAAAATAATGTGTGTATGTGTTTGTGTATGCATTTGTGTGTGCATATTAGCATGTGTATTTGTGTGTGTATGCATGTGTATTTCTGTGTGTGCACATGTGTATGTGTGTGTGTTTGTGTATGTGTGATACAGGTTATCTGTGTATGTATGTGTGTTACTATGGTGGATCAGTATCAATATTGAAAAATTTGAGGTGAAAGTAACAGAGCAAATGATGTGAGTACCTAGAAGTGCCATGCATTTAGAAAGTGAATTCTGAAAATTTAAGTAGAAAATTGACATTTGGGAGAATGTAAACTGATTTGAAGTGAACACAGAAAACCATGGGCCTTGAAGAAGTCAGAGCACGTCATATCCTCTGGGAAGAGCAGGATACTTATGCTGTGCCCGTCTTCTCTCCTTCCTCCCTGTCTTCTGCTCCAGATGTGAGAGAGAGGCTACCTTATCTGCCTACTCCATCAACCACTGACAGCATTATCAATTTGACTTTATAATAATCTTACATGGAAGACTCTGACATGCCCTGGACTGAGACCTCTAAGAGACATCCAAACTCCCATGTGTGTGACTGACCTGTTTCCTCTGTGAGTATTTACAGGTAGCATGTAAAGATAGAGGTGATACCCAAGAAGAACAGTGAGTTACAAAATAGAGTTATGTTTAAAGAAGACAGGGTGTGTATTGTGTTTAGTCACAGTTGTCAGCCTGGGAAGAAACTGGGCATGCTTATGGAAGATTATCTTGAGTACTTTAATTGAAATGGGAGAACCAACCTACTGCAGATGGCAACTTTCCCTGACTGTGATGCTCAACTGTACTGATGGAGAAAGGGAACTAAGCACAGTTATCACATAATCCCTCCATGTTTTGGGGTTGTGAGTGCCATGTGACCAGCAGCTTCCTTCTTCTCTGACTTAATTTTCACTCCAAGATGGACTGTACCTTGAAATGTGAACAAAATAAACTGATTCTTCTTTAAATGCTTTTGTCAGAATGATGTGGGATTTCCTTCTGTATGCTGTGACATTGGTTAATAAAGGACTGCTTTGGAACTCTAGCAGGACAGAATTTAGCTAGGCAGGGAAAACTAAACTGAATGCTGGGAGAAAGGAGGCAGAGTCAGGGAGAAGCCATGTAGCCCTGCCAGAACTTCACCTGGTAAGCCACTGCCTTGTGGTGATACACAGATTAATGGAGATGGGCTAAATTAATATGCAAGAGTTAGCCAATAAGAAGCTAGAGCTAATGGGCCAAGCAGTGTTTTAAATAATATAGTTTCTCTGTGATTGTTCTGGGGCTGAGTTGCTGGGCAGTAGGGTAATGAACTAGCAGCCCCTTTTACTACAGTCAGAATATTTTAGGGCAGTGACAGGAAAGGAAGTTACAGTGCTGAAAACATAATTCAATAAAAGCTGTGTCATTAAAAGGCAAAAGTCATTGAAAGTCTTGGATAAAGCTCTTCATCCAAGTCAGAAAAAAACGACAATAAGATTAAGGAGGAGTGTAGCAATGGGGGGGCTAGACTAAGGTTTGGAGTTTAGACAGAAACAAAACCAAACTCAATAGATTCACTTTAGTTTTGAAACTCTGGGCAGGGAGCTGTGATGCCTGTTACTGTAGGTGCTAAACTTGAAGTGTCCACCAGCCAAGCAGTTAACCTTTATTGGTGACTTCTCTTGTGGTGATAAAAAGAAAAAAAAAACCATACCGTGACCAAAAGCAACTTACAAAAGGAATGATTATTTTGGGATCATGGCTTCAAAGCGAGGGGCGGGGGTTGTCTATAATGATGGGGGCCAGAGAATGAAGCTAAAGGATCACAGGTCCGTCTTCACACAGGAAGCAGAGAGAAAACTGATAGGAAGTGGAAGGAGGCCATCAACTCTGAAAACATGGACATGCTGACTCCAGCAGGACCTTACCTCTTAAAGGTTTCATAACCCACTCCGCCCCCAAACAGTAACAGGGCCACCACCTGAGGATGAAGTGGCAAATACCTGAGACACACGGTGGGGAGGGGGGCATTTCTCATTCAAATCACCTCACAACTTTTTAAAAAATATTTGTTTTTTTGTGTGTGCATTTGTATATAAACCCTCATGTGCAAGAAAGCAATGTCTGAAGGTCAGATAAGACCTTGTGGGAGACAGTTTTTATTTCCTTCCATCATGTGTGTTCCTGGGATTAAAGTCCAGTTTGCCAGGTTTGGTGGGACATGCTGAACCAACTTGCTGCTCCAACACCCTTAATTAGAAGGCCCATGTTCAGAAATCCCGCTGAAGGAGAATAATGACCTGAAGCATGATTTCCTCCTGGGTGTATTCTGGCACG